AACCCAGAAACATCATCACCTTATCCTTATAGAATTGCACAAAAAAAGGTGGAGCATGCCTGTGAGCACACAGCTCTCCTTACTAAAGTTAGTCCAACTAAAAACACGGCCTTAAGCATAAATAATTTGAGATCCCAAGTTGACAGTGCCTCAAAGGTTGGCTTCATAAGCTGGCTCGGCACCTGTAGTAGCAAGGCTCATGTATCAGGATAGACATTTCTCAGGCCCTTCAGATTTTTTTAAAGGATTGGATTAACTTCCAAAGGGAATACAGTGGTGCCTCGCAAGACGAATGCCTCGCTGGACAAAAAACCCGCAAGATGATTGGTTTTTGCGATCACTGTGGTGCCTCGCAAGACGGTTTCTTCTATGGCCATGCTTTGCAAGACGGGGGTTTTTTTTTAGAACGATGCCTCAAAAGATGAATAAATTTCATTTGTCTTGCGAGGTTCCCATAGGGAACCTCACAAGATGATTTTTTCGCAAGACAAGGATTCTCGTGGAACGAATTACATTAGTCTTGTGAGGCACCACTGTAATTTTCCCCCATTTATATTTATAGTTCTTCCTATCCAATGACTTTGTGACTTCTACTATAATTCTATTCAGTTGTGGTAAATTCTCCATGTTGTTAATCAGGCCAGATCTGGGAGAAATATTTTCCCTTTCTGTTATGTTATCAAGTCCAGGATTATTAGCAAGTGATAAATGCCCACTGCCATCGCCCTCAACGTTGCAAATCAAGCCTGATGTGGCCACCATATGGCAACTATTATTGCATTGGACTTCTCTTTGTGGAACCTTATTATGTGTAACAAAGGAATCAGAGGGAAGAGGCAAATCAGCATCTTTGACCAACATGCCATAAAGATGGTTGTTGTGGGTTTTCCGGGCTGTTTGGCCGTGTTGTTAAGGTTTTTCTTCCTAACATTTCGCCAGTCTCTGTGGCCGGCATCTTCAGAGGGCAGGAGTCAGAACTCTGTGCTCTGGTGCAGTTTGTTTACTTGCCATAAAGATGTCTCTGAATGAATTCTCTCCTCCACCTGCCCAGCAGCAGTACTTCTTGCATTTTGTGTTGCTTCTGTTTGCAAACGTTATCACGTCTGAATGGCCCTGAGAGACTGAAAATGTCTTTGAACTCATTTGGAGACAACACCCATGCATGAATTTGCAGCTTCTGCCTGCTCAAATGATCAATTATTTGGTTGTCCACCCCACCACGTGTTATCAACATGTCTTTGCACACACCACTCCCGTTGGTCCACCAGATATGAGAGGGACATAGAGTATATATGGCCCTGTTTGTTTATGTAGTACATAGTGTACATGGTGTTGTTGTTATCTGTGGCCACTTGTACTACTTTCCCAGAGGTGATTGTTTTGAATGCCTGGAGGGACTTCATTATGGCTATCATCTCTACTTTGTTTAAAAATCACTGGCTTATATCATGAAAAGACAGTGTTTATAGCTAACTATAGTGAGTATACAAATGCTAAAAAGATCAAATGAACACAGTGCTGAAAACAATAAGCAGCAACAAAACACATTCAAAGCAGCAATCAGTTTAAAGACCCCACTCAGGCAGCCAGTTATTAAGGGAAAGCCTGCTGGAAAAGAAAAGTTTTCACCTGTCTGAGGACAGTAAAAATGGACCCGGCCTGGCCTCCTGGAGGGAGTTCCAAAGTTTGGGGGTGGCAACAGAGAAGGCCCTTTCCTGTGTCCCCATCAAACACACCTGTGAGGGTGGTGGGGCTGAGAGAAAGGCCTCTTGTGATAATCTTAACATTTGAGCAGACTCATAAAGGGAGATGTGGTCTTTGAGATAGCTTGGGCTCAAGCTGCTTAGGGTTTTAGAAGTTAGAACCAGCTCTTTGAATTCTGCCCAGAAATGAACTCACAGCTAGTTGAGCTGCTTCAACAGGAGGGTTATGTGGTCCCTGTGATCAGCCCCAGTTAGCAATCTGGCTGCTGTTTTGGACCCACAGAACTTTTCTGACAGTTTCCATAGGCAGCCCCACATGGAGTGTGTCAGAGTAATTCAGCCAGGATGTAACTATTGTGACAATGCACCACTGAACCTTTCAAGTTTGCATCCATAGTTATTTGGATACTGGGGTGAAACTGTTTAAGTGGTCTTCTCATTGTAAGACTGGGAGGGTTTGTCGAACATACTATCTGTTTCGCAGGTTCTTGGGTCACAGTTAGCTTCTTTAGATTGCTCTCAGTCAGAATGTTGAAAGACAAAAGGTACCAGATTTGGAGAGATCTCATACTCAAGCAGGCATGTGGGATCACCACTGTTGTCGAGACCATAAGGTTGAGCAGTTTCTGAGTCATATAAACCACCACAGATGCATTGACCATGAATTTCTTTGTCAAGTCCAAAATCTTGTCTATCCTGCCTTGAGGTAAATAAGCTCTGTGCTCACAAAGTAAAAACATTAATTTGATTAATTTGGCACAGTTGGCAGCATCTACCTAGTGAATAAGAGCCCATAACTTGTGCTAGACGAGAGGCTGCTATGTACTGTTTCTTCCCATCCTCATAAGTAAAAAAGAACATGTTTCAAGCAGGCAGTCTGTGTGGTGGTGGTGGTGGTGCAATCACAGAGCAACTGGCAACTTTTTGTCCTAAGAGCAGGGGTGTAAAAATTCCAACCAGACTAGAAAGCTGCTCAAGACACCAAGGCAGTGCCACCAAGAAAACTGAACACTGATATGGCATCCTTTTTGAATGTCGTTATGCCAAGGAGTTCAATAAACACCAAACCAGACATGGAAATGTTTATTAAACAAGGGTGTACCTATTTTGCTATAAAAGCAAGGAAAAAGTCTAACTCTCAAAATTTAAAAAGCAGGCACGCAGGAGGGAAGCAAAACCATTTCCTTCTCCCTTGCCTCACAGCTGTGTTCTACTTCCTTTGGTACCACATAGTAGAAAGAAGAAAGCAGCACAACAAGGTAAGGTAGTAGGATGTTGCCCACCCCGTCCCATGTCAACATTCTACTACAGGACACTGGTACATCATCAAACTTTCTCAATTGTCATTTTAAAAAAGCCTTGGTTTCTTAGTAAAAGCAAAGCTCTCCTTTTATAGCCAAACAGGCAAGCTCACATGTTAAAAAAGCTGTACATGCCTGGTTTGGCAGTGGATATCCCATTTCCCAGGGAGGCACTGCTAGTAGATGTGGCATAGTCTAAGAAATTTACGATAGCTGATCTTCAGAATCACCTCTACCTTGTCTGTTCTCTAGTAGTTGTCCTGCACCCTAACCCTGCTGAAATGTAACACAAATGGATAATATATGATGCCGTTGCAGCACAGTGTTTCAAAGGACAATACTATGAACATAGGTGAAATTTCTGTACTGGAACCTAATGCTAGAAGCATTAAAAACATACACTGCTTTCATACATGATATATAAATTACCTAGTATACAATATTGTACAGTGTAGTCCAAATTAAAAATTCCCTGTGTTTCTTTTCAGAAACTGAATGAACAGAAAAATTCCAGCGTCTACAAGGATATTGCTTCCAACAATGTCTTTATCAGAACAAAATACCACCAATCTGCTTTAGGTCACTGATACATGGTTTAGCTTTCTCAATAGTGATAAAAGAGCAACAGGCTATAATTGTTTGGGTTATCTCTATTGCCAGATTTATGAATGTGGATTATATGTCACAAATTGTACCCTGCTGGAAAGCTTTTGTCTGTCAATAAAAGATTAAAAACAACAGTCAGGGGTGAACATGACTACCTGTACCCTAGGACAATCTTAACGTGTGAGTAACCAAACCATAAGACCTTTGTCTTTCTAGCGTATAATCCTCTTAGTGTCTTGTACATCTCAGTGAACTTTAATGTGTGTGTGTGTGTACGTGTGTGCATGCGTGTGCGCGCGCACCTGTGTGCCTTGAATTTAGCTTTCAAAAATTTTCTTGGTATCTTCAAAAGAAACATTTAAAATATCAAATATCAAACTATCAAATTTCTATGCAAAGAAAAGAGTTTATATCTAGATATGCAATTGATGCATCTTTTGAAGATATTTTTAGATTTGAAAGCTTGACTGTCTCTTGCTACATTTTTATCCTGCACTAAATTAGTACTAATTATTTTTTTCCTCTCTCATTATGATCAAAACAGAATTCTATATTGAAATGTCACTTTTCTGGGTAGATAACTATCCTGAAAAATCAAATAAATGCTCAGTTCACATAGCTACTAAATAGCGGTGGTTGGTTTAAAAGCAAATACTGTTTAAATACAATTACACAGTAAATTTCACTTGTAGGCATCAAGTGATATCATATACTTGAAGAGGAGATACTAGTGGAACCTCATTACTAATTATCCCATCACTGTTTATCTCTTTAAACAAGTATTTTGTACTTGGTCTTTGTGATAGTGCAGGTTGCAATAGCAGTGAGAGATCCACTTTCCTGACCCCCAAAAATGTATTTTGCATTCTGTTTTCCTTCTATTGACATGAAACGGCACCATCTGTGATGGCCTGAGAACTGTAGAGATTTTAGGAGGAATTACACATGCAGTTCAATATCATACATTATTGCATTAGATTCTTTCCAGGCAACGATCACTATTTGTGTTTCCAAAAGTATATTGTTAATACAAAGTTTCCTCTACCCCCAGTTCCTATGGTCCCTTTTGGTCCTGCAAAACCTTTTGATCCTGCAAAAACCTTTGGGATAATGGGATGTGGAATTTTCAAAATCTGGAAATCACCACTGTTAAGACACAAATTCTTCTACCTGCCTTTAAACACTGAGAGATAATGGTAGAAGCAGAGAGTGTGAATACTCATGTTAATAGAGATAACTATCCAATCTGCACTGAACTATTTTACATAATATGCAAATTTCATTAGTTTTTAAAATTGCTATATTCTATTAGTGGTTACAAATCTCTTTTTAAAAAGATTTCCTGGAGGACAGAAATATTTCCTTTCCTCAGATTTCACTCAGTGCTCACCTTATATTGTATAAAATGGCTATCTAGCTCCACAGTTTCCAATATTTGATGTTCCTGATGATTTGTAAATTCAAAATTCCGTGGAAATCCACCACAAGGTTCCCAGCTGAAAATAATCATTAAAAAGTGATAGTTATTTGAGAACTGCTCTATTGTTTCTTCTTTAACATATTATAAAATCTACCAAACATTTTGCTGTCAATGCCTCTTGCAGGAATGCTGAAACCGAAGCCTGACCACAAAGGCCCAAGGGCCTAAATCCAGCTGCTAGTTTCAGCTAGGGTAGACCCATTTAACCAGCTGTGAACAATTAAGTCAACAACTGTGCAACTCCTGCTGACTCTATAGGTCAACTCTAGTTTGGATTTGGAAATGGATTTATGAAATGGATTTATTTCTCTGAATTCCACCTGAATTTCCACTTATATTACAATCCTCCTATGCCTTATCTATTCTGGATGGTTCTTTGGAGTTCAAGAATAGATGGGGACACAGGAGACTCAGGGGGGAACTGGAAGGAATGTCCATCTTGTGAGGTGAACTCTGTGTTTCTCTGGCTCCAGCAATTGCCTGGGATAAATTAGGGGCAAAGTATGCAGATTTTTTCCCTTACTTACCCAATTGAAGAATAGTAAGCAAGAGTGTAGTACTGACTTTAAAATAACTGCAGTTCTGTTAAACATTTGTTGCATAGGACAGGGGTCCTACTGAAGAGAAGATGTTTTAATTGTAGCAGACTATGTGTGTAAAACAAGTATTTGGATCCAAGCTCATGTAAGTGTAATTATGCACAATTTGTTGCAAGTTACATGATGTTTTGGGCAGTTACTCATTTAGTTGTTTCAAATTGCTGCTTCAACTGAATTAAGATAAATATTAAAATTTTAAATCAATTTATTTAAAATAAATTTAATTTGATTTTCAATCAATATCAAAATCACTATCAATTCATCTAAAATTAGTATCAAAACAGAATTCACAGGACCTTGCTTCCAGCTTACTGGGTGTACGGCCCACAGCTTTAGTGTTAGAAACGTATTGTTCCATATTCAAATTAGTCACAAAATATCAGCAGGAGAGTGCCATAGTCTCATGTCTAAAGCATTTATATTTTTATTTGAAGATCTGCTGAATTTATTTTTCTAGTCACATGAAGTTGGCATCTGTTTCTATGGTACATAGCAAGCCATTGTCACTATTTCCATGTCATATTTACAACAAAAGTTGCAAACTATCTCAACATTTTAATCTTGTTTTCCCATTCCCTCATCTTATTTCTTGTGGATCAAAAAGCCCCCTCAAATAAAAAAATAGATAATGTACTTGTCGCGTCCAGGCAGCAATTCAACAGTGGGATCCAGAAGTGTTTTATAAATAACTGTGATGCCATTCTTTTCAGCTGCTGTCACTCTGTCAAAGGTCAAGCTCAGAACAGGATTTAAAGGAGACCTGAAAAATGGAAACATCATCAAAGATGACCTCTGGGGGGAGAGGAGAAGAAATCAAACAGCTGCAAACGCAGTAATTACATGAATATAAAACACAGTTTGTAAGAGCTGAAGTTGTTAAGAATGAATTCAGCAACAAGACATTGAAGTTTCTGGTTTTCCATTTCATGATTAAAAATACAGTGATCTAGGAGCTAGCACCTTTCTGAAGTTCAGGTGCTTTCACTTTGGGAATTCATTGTCACCACAGCAAGTGTGTTATCTTTATGGACATCAAGGAAATTGAATTATTGCTGAACTAGTAGCTCATCTCCAGGCTGAAACAACTGTTGAAAACAAAATAAAAGGCAAAATAGAACTATAACCAGGTTCTTGGTGATCTACAAAAGATCAAATATAACAATAAGTTAATTAAGATCAACTTAAGGGGGTGCTGATAAGTATTGAGCTTTCCCCAGAAAAAATTGAGCTAGGAAGCTATAAATTGCAGGGTGTGTTGGCCAATCTGTCTGTATTCAATGGTGCAATACAGTAATCAACTGCCGTATATACTCGAGTATAAGCTGAACCGAATAGAAGACGAAGCACCCAGATTTATCACAAAAAACTGGAAAAACTTATTGACTCGAGTATAAGCCAAGGGTGGAAAATGCAGCAGCTACTGTTACATTTCAAAAATAAAAATAGATACCAATAAAATTACATTAACTGAGCCATCAATAAGTTAAATGTTTTTGAAGATACTACCCTTCTGAGCATGAACTAAAATGCCATCCAACAAACAAGGACAGAGGAAAATGAGGCAACAAAAGATGAAAACTAACTTGCCACCAAAGCCAAGCCAAGCCAGAAAGGTGGTGGTGGTAGTGGTGGTGAAGCAACAACAGAGGGAAAACTGAAGTACCCCTGAATCCAAGCAAAACCGGGGGGGGGGAACGGCAACAGACGGTGAACTAAAATGGCGCCAAAACCAAGTAATGCCAGAAAGGAGGGGAGTCGGAAATGGCAACAAATGGAGAGAAATAAGAAATCGCACAAACAAAGCCAATCCACCTGTAGGGAAACGGAAATAAGTAAACCGCAATCACCCCAACTAGTCTGTATAATCTTATTATTTTTAGTGTAAATTGCTACAACACTACTGTTTCCTCTTTTTATTTTTTGTTTTTTAAAAAACCCTCTCACGCCTAGGCACAGCAACGGGAATACCCGCACCACCAGTTTCCCCTGCGCTCGGGACTCTAACAACTCAAGTTAAAAAATATATAAGAAATACAACAATTACTTAAACAGTTGATAAATATAAATGTAGGAAAGGAAAACAATTAGACTCAGCCCAGGGAGGGAGCCATTCCTGCCTTTCCGTCCTAGAAGCTCGATCACCCTTCAACCCAGCCGGAAATCACAGCCATGCAGCCACTCTCCTTCTTGCTCGAATGCCTGAAAATAAGAGGGTGGTCCTAGAGGGGCAAGTGCCTTGAGTAACCTGTAATTTTGACACTGACTCAAGTATAAGCTGAGGGGGTGCTTTTTCAGCAAAAAAAAAAGTGCTGAAAAACTTGGTTTATACTTGCGTATATATAGTACAGTGATGCCCCGCTAGACGCTTACCCCGCTAAATGATGAAATCGCTTGACAATGACTTTTTCCGATCGCAAAACGATGTTTCCAATGGGCAATTTTTGCTCCACGATGATCTGGTCTGTGCTTCGCAGACCATTTATTCACAAGACGGCGATCTTTACAGCTGATCGTCGGCTCGCAAAATGGCTTCCCGCTGTTTTCCAGACCCATGCTTTGGAAGGCAGCGATCGCAAAATGGCTGCCCTGTGGAGTTCTGCTGGTGTACTACCTCCAACAGGGTTCCACCACCAATGCAAAATATTACTGTGCTTTTTTGATGAAGTTGAGGCAAAACATCTAGGGAAAATGTTGAGAAAAGCTCTCCAAATGTGTCATCCTGTTGCATGACAATACCTCCTCACATACTGCAGGTGAAACAATGGCAAAACTGACATCCTTAGGATTTCAAGTGATGCCCCATCCACCCTATTCTCGCAATCTGGCTCCCTCTGACTATTATCTGTTCCCCAAACTTAAAAAACACCTAAAGGGACAATGATTTGGGAGTGTTCTGGAGGCAACTAATGCTGCAAATGAGTGGTTACACCAGCAGTCGGAAGAATTTTATTTGCAGGCACTTAAAAAGCTGCAGGACAGATGTCGCAAGTGCATTGACCTCCTGGGGGAATATGTAGAATAGTGTGGCAGTTACAGCTTCCTAGCTCATATTTTTCTGGGAAATACTCAGTACTTATCAGCGCCCCCTCGTAGAGTCATGTTCATACCGCTGAAAACTGAAAAAAATACTCCTCTCAGCAGCAACAAGGTAAGATAGGAGAACTTAGTGCCAACACTTCTGCAGCACTGCAGATCCTGTCTGCCTATCCCCAGTTGCACCTGGTACATACTATGGTTGGTGGGGCATAAGGCACAATAATGTTTTGCAGCATCTCTCTTTCTCCATGAGCAAGAAGAAAAATGAGGACATGCTTAATTCCTGTCTACATGTATGCCTCAAACAGTGACCAAAAGATTGCCCTCGGGATAAAATTAACATCCAACTGATTTCATTATTTTTGATCTGGTGACAGGGAGTAATTGTGATTGCCAGAACTATGGGATGGGAGACCTCTGTGGAAAAGCATTTTGGCCGGCATCTGAATAGATTGGCAACTGAGTCCATGAGAGCAAAGACACTGTTTGCAGACACAAATGAGAAATCACATTTAGGACAGGTTATATTTTGACTCTAGTTGTCTCCTTTAAACTGGCTCCAGCACAAACTGGGCCTGAGGATTAAGCTAACTGGGAGTAGCTTGAAGTTGGGCAGTGCTCCACTTGCTCTAATGACCAGCCTCAACGGCCTATCTCACTCTGTCAACCCGGCAAGCACAGGCAAGTTGTGCACAGAGGAGATTAAATAGATCAGAACAGATTCACTGTGGTTCTGACTTGAAATGCCCCACTCAAGACAAATTGCAGTGGAATCTCTTTCTGCCTTGTAAAATCCAACAGGTCAAAGCAAGTATTATTGAGCTGGACAGTTTAAAAGAAATCCTGCAAATTAGAAAGTACTGTTTGTCTGCAACTGGCATTCCTTACTATTAACTATGGTGGTTAGGACTGATGGGTTTTGCAATCTACCAGCACAAGGGATAGGATAAATTAATGCAAGTTAAGCTCATCCTGGGCTACTTAGTCATGATGACTATGTATCACCTGCAAAATCAGGGGCAGTATATCAGCATATCAATTGCTGGACAATAGGAGACAGAAGGTGGAGATTGAACTGATTTCCTGATGGTAGGCTCCGTACAGCTCACTGACTGGCCACTATGTGAAAAGAACACTCTGCTAGATCAGCCTTTGATTGGCTCCAGCATGCTTTTTCTTAAGTCCCTAATATCTAGAACACTCGTTCTTAACCTTGGGTTACTCGGGAGTTTTGGACTGCAACTCCCAGAAGCCTTCACCACCAACTGTGCTGACTGGGGTTTCTGGGAGTTGCAGTTCAAAAGCATCTGAGTAACAAAGGTTAAGAACCACTGATCTAGAACAGTGGTTCTTAACCTTTGTTACTCACATGCTTTTGAACTGCAACTCCCAGAAACCCCAGTCAGGACAGCTGGTGGTGAAGGCTTCTGGGAGTTGCAGTCCAAAACTCCTGAGTAACCCAAGGTTAAGAACCAGTGATCTAGAAGACCTTATAAGAGTAATCAGTTCAAAAGCATCCAAGTAACAAAGGTTAAGAACCACTGATCTAGAAGACCTTACAAGAGTAATTCTCCTATAGGAATAATATTACCATTGGGATAATTTAAAAATGTGAAAATCTTTGCTGGGGAAAAAGAGAGCACACTTATTGTAATCTATGTAACAGTTGCTAGCAAACACAGATATGTAAAGAAAGCTGTGCCCAGAAATCAAGGCTAGAACACAGCTTCATGTTGGTCAAATATACATGTAACAGCCCTTATATAGCAGTGTTCAAATAACAGAGGTTCTCTCTTAATAGTGTGTAATCACATCATAAAATGGAATGAGGTGAACACAATCTTGAAATGGAATGGGATGAACAGTCAGCAGACACCCAAATTAGCTTTTACAGGCAATACACCAATCTGAGGTGGCTTTGCATGAATTTCAGGTGTAAATATTGCCTAACCCAATTATTTTCAACCTGTTTTTCATGAGATCATACCTAATAAAGATAAATGGAAATCCTGAAAGCTTATACATTTTTGTGTCTTTTGGTTGGCCTAATAAAGATATTTTACTAATACAGATTTTAGAATAGGGTTATGTTCATTTCTCCTTATAATTGCTTTTTTATTTTGATAAAACTTGAATGAAAATATAGATTCAAAATAAAAATGTTCAGTCATTTTCCTTCCACTTTCAGGCATTCTGTCTTTGATTGTGCTTTGTGTACAGTTACGATATCTTTTTCTGAGCAGCACATTTATTTCTTCTTCTGCCTCTGTGGTTCTTTCATACTGCAATGTCTATAAAATACTAACTTGAAATAAAGCAATAAACCAAGATTAATATTGTTGAGATTAATTTGCAAAGTGGCTTCAGAGGACAGCTTTAAGTTCATGTTGGTTAAAACGGCTTGGAATACGTTATCATTTCAACTGCAGGTATGTTCAGGAGATTACTTGTTCACTAGGACATTTCCAAAAAGGAGGTCTGTTCTCACAAGGAAAACAGAGTGACAGACACTCTTCCTAAGAATAAGTGTTGTTCTAAATCTGTGTTTAAATGTGAAGCATATAACTACACACAAACACTTTTCTAATCTACATCTTAAAGCACTTTAAACATGATAAAGGACATAGCAACTCAAACCCAGTAATCATTGCTTATTGAAAATTTAAATGCTTAATCATGTATGGTTATTTTAAGAGACCCAAGAAAGGAAACTGACATTGACAATGTTCCACAAATTAGCCCTTTCCTACTTTTCACAAAAATATGCAGATTGCCAGTTTCAACAATGAGCTAGATTCCAGACCAAAAAGGACAAAACTGCTCAATCACAAACCTTATTATGGTTTTGTACTAGGATAAATGAAAATAAATTCACTAATAAAGTAATTTCTCTCTTCCTATTTCTCTTTCTCCCTCTCTCTCTCTACGAATGCAGGTGTTGTTCTAAATAATACATCAGAAGGTTACATTCATTTTGTTCTGTTAGGATATGAGGTATACCTAAGCTTACTACTCTCCAATTCTTTTATCATGGCTATATGAAGTTACACACTTCATATGTGTAACAGAAAAATGCCACTGGCCATCCCAAAAAAACAGGAAATACTGTATTAAACCAGTTTATTTCTTATAAGATGTAATGCTAGAAAGTAGTTTGAAAATAATAAAAGTAATACAAACTATTTTAAAAATGAGATGGAAACAAACTTCTTTAAAAAAAAATGAGTTAATGACTTTTTTTCATGTCAGAGATTTACTTTGCAATATAAAAAGTGACATTTTGGATCCCAGTCTTTTGACAGGGCACAGTAATGATATTTCTTAACTAAAATGATCTGATAACAGTACGGTAATAATATACTACAACTGAACTGGAAATAAAAGAACACAGAAACACAAAGGATACATTTTAAACAGAATAAAGTATAATCCATAATACACTCCAAACACAAGCAGTTTTCTTGGTTGGCACAACCACTCTCAAAATAATAATGGAAGACACATCCTTTGAGAACAGCTTTCATTTTGCGAACAACCACAAACGCAAAGTATACAGCTATGAATCTAGCCATAACACAATTCTGTTGCCAGAAAGGAGGCTTTGAAAAATGAATCCCTAGCAAGACTTCTGTGAAATATATGAACAAAAGCACACCCTAAATCTTGTTCTCAGAATATTACACTGCAAGAAATTCCACAGTAGATTTCAATATTAAATGTCTAATTGCTTGAATTTTAAAACATATGACTCCTTAGATTTTAAATGCAATATGAAAGATTACCACACTTCTACTTTTCATGTTACTCATGAAAATATACTTCTAGGTTTTGACTGTGAATAAGGCTACATTTCTCTGCACCCTTACTTGGGTATAATCGTCAATGAAAAGAATGGGACTTAAGAAATAGGCATAGGATTGTGCTGCATTATAGTAAGTAAAACAAATCAATGAGCAATTACACTCTGATCCTACACATTTCTGCAAATGTATATAAAATGTCTGGTATTTTTACCATCAAAATGTTAATGAAACATTTCAAGAACATAAGCCTAGGTAACATTTCATCTAGTCTTTCAGTCTAGAAAATGAGAGACTAGCATTAAAAATATGAAACAATTTTTGCACTGAAGAGTGGAGTTATATATTAATAACATAAACAAAACATAATTACAAAATGGCAAAACTATAAGTGTAGGAACATTGCTGAATTGCAAATTAACAAATAAATGCAAACATATCTTGCAAATACATCTATATTATAAATGTGAAGAAGTAGGTTTTATTGATACCTGTGCAGGCTTTCATGGATAGAGGTGCTAATTCTTTTAATAATTCACATCAGTTATACTACACTACCCTAAAAGTAACTCTGAAATTTATCTTTCCCCCCTTGTCAGTTATAGCAATAATTGCATGTAATTCTTCAGACACACACTACCCAGGTTTCCAGAAATGCTGCAAATAAATTAACCTAAATACTTGCATAGCCTAAATACTTGCTATTTTTAACTTGAGATGATCAGAGTTTACAAGTTTTACCAGTTTATTTATTTTTCTTTCTACCAGCACTGGTGCTTAAAAGGTTAAGACTTTATATTTGAAAACACAGAGGGACAGTACGGAATCATGTTGTCTACAGCTTCATAAATCTTGCTTAAGATCCTTTTCAATTACCATCCATTTCTCCTTTAAAAAGGGACCAAAAAAAATAGAGGAGTGGAAGCAGGTCAGGGCAGTCCGTGACAATGACAGTGTGATGGGCTTGGACCTCCTGTGGTGTTTCCATCTGCTATCATTAAGGTGACTATTCAGACATGAAAAAATCTCTCTTGCTGTGCTGACAGGCAGACATCAAGAACTATGACAAGGCATTAAGACAGTAAGTCAGAGACAGAGATGTCATATTCCACAAACAGTACTGCCTCAAACAAGGCCTCTGAAATTTTGTCGGAATTTACCATAAAAATAAAAGGGGTTTTACCTGGAGGTTATCAAACTTCCACTGTACAGCAGTTTGACAACAGCAAGATTGCTGACAGTCATCGAGCTAAAACACTTTGCTCCTACCTGTAATCTTCACCATAAGAAACCCAAATCTTTTGCTCATTCTGCAATAAAAATGGATTTTTAATTTCTTTCCCAGTCTCATCAAAAAGCTGAGTGGGGAAGCGACTCAGACCCGATGGTCTGAAATCTGCCAAACTCTGGAGTCTTTGGTGAATTATATGCTGTACCTGGCAGTGGAAGACACAAAAAGAAAGAAAGAAAGAAAAAAAGAAAGAAAGAAAGAAAGAAAGAAAGAAAGAAAGAAAGAAAGAAAGAAAGAAGAAAAGAAAAGAAAAGAAAAGAAAAGAAAAGAAAAGAAAAGAAAAGAAAAGAAAAGAAAAGAAAAGAAAAGAAAAGAAAAGAAAAGAAAAGAAAAGAAAAGAAAAAAGAAAGAGATGGGAACATCTGTAATAAATTGTTTGTACTCCATAACCAGTGATGTCCAAACAAACGATAATTAAATTCATATAGAATGTTAAAAGAAGTGTGAAATGACTGCAATGTTTATCTCAGTGTAAAGTAACAAAATGAGCACAGGCTTTTAACCAGCAGGGGGTGCAACAGGATTATGGTTGAGCTCTGACCCTTTGGCACACAGACTGAAAGCAGATGTGACAGTTGTACAGAACAAGCAGTTAGCTTCTACATACTGTAACAGCTCTCTTGATAAAGGTTATGTTTTCCCAGTCCACATTTGGAGCTACATTTTGTTAGTGTTTTTACTGAGCTTGTTGAGGCTTGACAAGGGCTGTGTTTCCCTCCATCCTTCTGCCAAGCCATAGGTGATCAATAACTGAACAAGAATAAGACAAGACTCATTTAACAATTTCAGCCCCGTAAGAATATATTACAGGGGCATGGCAGAAACTGTTCAAAACCCCTTACCACCCCAAGCAGTTATATTTAGAAGGCAATTTAACTACCAAGGGGATAGCTCTCAACCCAACCTAATTTCATTGGATCTGTAGAGCTTTTCCCAATTTTCATTCCCCTTTTAATAAGTCACAGGGATCTGCTACAGAGCAATTGCTCCCACACCACAGTTGCTCCCATACCACATATTCTGTGGTCAATTTGCCATTTCAAGGTATTGTAATAATGGCTCTAACTAGAGTCACTTCTACACACTCCCCTACTTGTCACCGTTCTCTGACTACAAAAGTTCTTTCCAGCAGATTGATTCATACTCTCTTCTCCTTTGCCAGCTTCTACAACTGAGCATATCACACAGCCTCATATAAATGACTGTATTGTGACAGTATTTTTAATACTGGCAGTACCTCCTCAGTATTACTAGCTCCTGGTGGGACCATACACAAAAGAAAAAACTACAGTAAAATAATCTGCTCTTCTCACTAAGAAACCCATTGAAGTGGAAGTGTTTCGATAATCAAAAGTGTTCACTGCAGTCAGGAAAAAAGTCACAATATATCTAACAAATGACTGATGATATTACTCTATATCAAGCATTAATACCTTTGAGCAGGTCTGCTCTCAATATCTCATAGTTATCACTTGCAACACACCAGTATTGGTAATCAATCTGTTTGGGTAGAATTCTTCTGATTTCCTCTTACAGAAAAGTAGAAAATATCAGGGAACAGGAAAGTAGCTAAAGTTTGATAAGTGATATCTTCACCTCAAACATGAACATACTAAAAGCTTAGTCATAATTCCTTCAGCTCCATATTAGCATTCTCATAAAATGGGTTACTTAAGGATTACAGCGAATATGCATGTGAAGTGCTTTGAATATTTCAGCTGCACCATCCTATGAGCCCGTTGGGGATTTCAAAGGTGCCACTAAGACAGCAAGAGTGGCTGCACTATTTGGCAATGTGCCAGTTACACAATTTGCTGCTCAACATACATGTTGTCAAGCAGCACAATATTACTTGTACAAGAAAAATCCACAACAGGACACTTTGGGTTTTTTTTTTTCATTTTTAACACTTTCTTCCTGTCAAATCATCCTGCACATAATATTCATGATTAGTCTACCTCCATTTTGTACTTCTGACATGTCTATGAAGGTAGGTCTGGCTCAGAGATTCGGAATTGCCCAAGGTCACTGAGTCAGTTTCCAGGTTAAGCATGGACTTGGATCTAGAATTTCCATACATAAACCCAGCAGAACTTTCTGTATCACACTGCACACATAATCAGATTGGAACTGATATGGTAAGATGTACTGCAGTACAATAATGACAATAATGTAGTGGGGAAAATCTTTTGATCTTATGAGGTTTTAATTTTTCCAATACTAAATTCATCCCAATTCTACATTAAATTACTTTTTTCCTACATCGCTGTTAGTGTGCATTTCCTCAAATATACGTAATTTTGTGCACATTTGGCAAATACACATATTTGGTGGTATGTGCCATCAAATTGCCTCCAACTCATGGAGATCCTATGAAGGAGTGATCTCCAAAATGTCCTGTTGTTAACAGCCCTGTTCAGCTCTTGTAAACTCAAGGCATCTCATATTTGGTCTTCCTTTTCCATGATGCCTTCAACCTTTCTCAGCATTATTGTCTCATCTAGAGAATCTTGCTTTGTCATGATGTGCCCAAAGTAGGACAGCCTTCGTTTCATCACTTTTGCCTCCAGGGGTACACGTATAGCCCCCACTAATTAAAGTAAGTTTGGGTGCACCATTGTGATGTCTGTGGGTTTTGTTTGTCAGCTGCATTGCAAGAACGAGCTGGATTTTTAGCATATATACATTACTGAAACAGCAACGTCTACGTTGGCTTGGGCACGTCGTGAGAATGGCTGATGGTTGGATTCCAAAAGATCTCCTGTATGGAGAATTAGTGCAGGGAAATCGCCCCAGAGGGAGACCACAGTTGCGATACAAGGATATCTGCAAGCAGGATCTGAAGACCTTAGGAATGGACCTCAACAGATGGGAAACCCTGACATCTGAGCGCTCAGCCTGGAGGCATGCGGTGCATCATGGCCTCTCCCAGTTTGAAGAGACCCTTGTCCAGCAGGCCGAGGCAAAGAGGCAGTTACGAAAGCAGCAAAATCAGGAAGCAGGACAGAGGACAGATTGGATTTGTCTTCAGTGTGGAAGAGATTGTCACTCTCGAATTGGCCTCCTCAGCCACACAAGACGCTGTTCCAAGTCCTCCATACAGAGCACGTTACCATAATCTTTCGATACTGAAGGATGCCTGATGAATGCATTGCAAATTTTTGAAATGTACAGATTTCAACATCAACATGATCTGCATTTATGCTCAGATGGTTAAGTTTTCACTGAAATGTGAACCAAATTAATTTGTCTCCCATATCTTTTTTCTGTGTTTGAGTATAAAGAAGGTGTGAATTCATGCAAGGCAAACTTCTTCAAAAAGAGAATAAATCTTAAAAATGTATAGAGAAACTATGGTATAAGGGCCAAAATATCTCTGCTACTTAATTCAATATATATATTTTTAAAAATTGATAACATACTGTACATTTGAAAAATATAGTCTAAAAACATACCCTTTCCAGCACAGCATTGGATTGACTCCCGCAACTGCTTTCCATCTCCTTCCTACTGATGTAAACAAGAGTCTCGCCAGTGTCTTTCCCATTTTCATACACCTTAAAAACAAACAATAATGAAGTAAATAAAGTATGACATAGTCTAGCGCTAATATCATGGCTCATTTTAAAAATATTCAGTGTTAACATTTTTAGAAATATGGTAAATAAAGGAAAAGATACCTGTATTGGAGGATCAATTGTTCTTCAGGAAACGCAGTTGACAATAGCTAAAAGGCAGCTTTATGTATATTATTTATTTGTAGTATGAGGGGGGAACCCTTCACCCTACAAAAGTTTTTTTTTTACATTTTTTCACTAGTTACAGCTCTCTCAACAGCTGAAATCCAGTGGTATATTTCAACTAGAGTAGACCTATTGAATCAATGAAACCAACTGAAGAGCTGACCCATCAATTCTTGCTAGTCAGAACTGGATAAAATTTAGAAGGACATTAACCTCCTAGGCTCCCATCTTTCAGGCAAACAGATGTAGCAGGACTGCATGCCATGCCAATAAAATCTGATTTTGTAAAAAAGGGAACATCCTCTGTTTTCAATGCGAAGATTTAATGTCAATCTCTTCCAAGTACCACAGGCTCTCCAAAAGCAATGTTAAAATCCACATACTTGGAAGAGAAAATTAGCAAACGGTGCTAAAAAGTAGATCCCTCCTTCCTTCAATGCACTAGGATCAGAATGTTCTGGTAAAACCATTAGCTGGGGAAGGCTGAGGAAATAGACTAGCTGAAGCATTTTATTATAGTGCTTGTTTTGATATATAAAGCCCTTAACAGCTTGGGCCCTGGATACCTGAAGAACCGCCTCCTTCCATATGAGCCTACCTGGCAGTTAAGATCTAGCCAGGGGGCCCTTTTGAAAGAGCCGTCCCTCAAGGAGGTAAGAGGGATGGCTTGTAGACAAAGGGCCTTTTTGGCAGCTGCCCCCAGACTATGGAACGCCATCCCAATTGAGATTAGTCTGGTGTCGACGCTGATGACATTTCGGTGCCAGGTCAAAACCTTCCTCTTCCAGAAGGCTTTTAATTGAAATAATATCAACTGTGGGTCCTGATGGCAATTTTTAGAGTATCTATTTTAATTGTATTTTAGTTGTTTTATCTTTTTATTGTATTTTAATTGTTGTAAGCCACCCAGAGACCTTTGGGCAGAGTGGATGGAATATAAACAAAACAAAACAAAACAAAACAAAACAAAACAAAACAAAACAAAACAAAACAAAACAAACAAACAAACAAACAAATAAATAAATAAATAAATAATCCTGATATGTAAACTATGTTCTGAACAAAAGTCTGCTGTTAGGACATAACAGAGAAACACAATAACAGAGAAACACAATAGTTTCTGGTCAGGGTGCATTTCATCACCCTATCAGTTCAATTCATACGGGGAACATAACATGCAAAATCTTGGATTAACGTTAGTTTAAGAAGGAGCAAGAACTGGTAGAAGAAATGGCTATAATTCTAGATAGGCAAATGAAACCATATTACTGGTAAACAGCAACAACAACCTGAAATGGCTATTGAAGAAGGTTAATGAATAAATTGCAAATCAAGATTACAGCTGAACATTAATAAGACAAAAATAGGGGTGTGCATTTGGGTTAGGAAATATTCAGAATTCACTAAATAATTGCATATTTGGATAGTTCCAAATATATCCAAATATGAATATAATAGTCTCAAATATCTGTAATTATAATCCCTAATATGCAAGAGTCCCATTTACTTCTATAGATTAGAAAGTGAAGGGCTACATTTCTGCTTGCTAAAGAAAGAAGTGAAAGTGAAACCTATTTCTCAGGCAACTGGTAGTAACTTCTCGAGAAATGAAACTTTAAAGACACTATGGCACCAAGGGTAGTGGGGGCAGAGAACTCAGTGTCTCCTGGCTGGGATTGCCTTGGGTTTACCCAAGGGAGGAAGGCCGGGGCAAGAGCAAAATCTATAAATTATGTCTGTCTGCACCAATGAAATTTAGAAGCAGGGACAGGCACCAGAAGGTATTTTTTTTTCATATTTATTCTTTCCAAATGAAAGGTGGGCATAGAGGCTTATAAACACCCTGAGTGTTTGCTGTGAGGATATGCTCTGGTGCAATCCTGAACTGCAGCAGTTTTCTGTGTGTCCTTTTCTGAACCCTCAACTTATATTTACATTCTCTACATGTCATTGTATATTAATAATGTAATATACTTCAGAATAAGATTTAGGATTAGTAGATTCATTTACTGATATGTTGCAAATCAAAAAGGAAATATTCTGTTAGGTTTAGTACCCTTTGTGGTATATGAGGCAGGGGAATAAAATTTTCTTATATAGAGACATATCTATTAAGTTAATAAATTCTCTCTCTCTCTCTCTCTCTCTCTCTGTCTGTGTGTGTGTGTGTGTGTGTGTGTGTGTGTGTGAGAGAGAGAGAGAGAGAGAGAGAGAGGTGTTTTCATTTGAAGGATTTGTCTTCTGTTGTAGCAGAATCAGGTCCTTTTCTTTATGTAGAATCTGCAGGCAGTATGAAATTTGGCTATGGTAGAAGAAGTACTGTAGGCACTTGGGGAGGGCTGCAAGAATCCTGCCTGCACCCGCTGCAGCAGAATCTGCTGTAGCAGAATCAGGTCCTGTTCTTTATGTAGAATCTGCAGGGAGTATGAAATTTGGCTGTGGTAGAAGAAGTAGGCACTTGAGGAGGGCTGCAAGAATCCTGCCTGCACCCACTGCAGCAGATGGCAGGGGCCTATCCTCCAGAGACATCACCCCAGAGGAAGGCAAGGGAAGAGTTGGCATGTCAAAGCCCTGCAAGCCAAAAGACACTGATCCGTCATCTTATTGGGCTGAGAAGGATTCTGAGGAGTTCTGACAGCGTCATCTTATTGGGCTGAGAAGGATTCTGTCTGAGGAGTTCTGACAAAGGTGCCAGTGGGATTGCTGTCTTGCCCACCAACGAGTGTGCCCAATGACAGTGTGTTCTCTCAGGCAAGGGACATTGTCAGACCACACTGCTCACACCTAGAACCAGGATCTGTGGGAAAATTACATTCCTTAAGGTCAACCTACCTTTTCTGGGCTTCCATTAAGTCTCCTTCAAGTAGGAGAAATGGCACACTCTGCTACTGTACTAGGTATGCCATGCTTCAGTCTGCTGCCCCCTCCTCTTTCATTCTTCCAACTGCTGCTCCAAGATTGGGCTCACTCACTCAACTGTGCTCTGCCCCGTGCTGTTGGTACAGTTCCTACTCACCACAGACTATCTGCTGCACCAATCTGCCTGCCAGTACTGCCCAGGGTATTTGCCCACTACCCAGTGTGACCTGTCCTCTGCTTCCCCAGTGCTGGCATTCCCATTCTTCATAGTTCCATCAGTATTTCAATTGCGTTTCCAAATAGCTAAGCACTGCTGGCTGTTGGTCCACACCCCTTTTATCTGGCACAATCATTGGGAAGGTGTCAGAGGACACTGGGAAGTCCTTTAAAACTGTTTTGCCTGCTGGCATTTTTTAAAAGGGGGAAATAGTGGCTATGTAGTATTCATATTGACTATAATGGAATTCCACATATCTGGAAATTCTGATTTTTTAAAATTCAACATTCTGAATCTGAAAGGCTATAATTTAGAAATCCAAATCTGAATTTTGGAGCTAGTGTGCATGCCAAATAACAAATGATTGCAGAAGAATTATGTCACTAATACGTGACACAAAGAAATCAAAATAGTTGATTTTTTTATACCTCAGTGTAGTTATCAGTCCAAATAGAGACCTGAACCAGGAAATCTAAAGAAGAATGAAAGTCAGAAGGGTGCCTCTGAAGAAACTAGAGACAATCTCAATATAATGAAGTCTGAACTCTCACTAAAAGTTGAACATTAGTTGGATTGACTTAATAAAGGAAGCCTTTTTTGTTTACAAGAGCTGTTGAAGACAGGACATTCTGGAGGCCATTAATTCATAAAGACATCCTAAATTAGAAATGAATTGATATCACATAACAGTAATAGAATCTAGTGTTGTCAGTCACAAAACGTTATCCCTCTCTCAATGCTGGTATTTACTGTATATGGAGAACATGGAAAAAAGTATCAGAGTTTCGAGTCACACTGTGCCCTTCCAAATCAAAATTACTAATTAATCTTCAGGAGAATCCAAATTGAGATTTGCACAGGTTTGGAGAAATTCCACTTTGATTAAGACATCTCTTCAATCAGAGTCAGTGTTCAGTGTGATATTTATCCAACTGAGAAGAACATCCCTAATATGTGTTTATGACACATCCACCTGCTGTCATTGAGATATAAGCCAGCACTCCTACAAAAGCATAGCCTATCCACTGCTTTTTGACTACCACAGAAGGCTGAAGCTCACAGTAAAAGAAAAGTAGTCACCTGAGTCAAAGAGTGATGAAGACAGGGCTGAGTTACAGACCGTAGCCCTTGCAATGATAATGTGAGAAAAGCATGATTCTGCAACATCCTGTGGTGCCAGAAGATGACAACTTTGAAGAAGCTTCTTTTTTTCTCTCTCACACACAAAAGAAGACACATCTTTTCTAGGATGGTGCAGTAATGCAGCAATATTGAGTGATGTTTTGTATGACATCAGTCGGATACACACAAGTCTCAGCAGACACTAGGTCAGAAGGGCTGTTTTGCCCTAGAGAAGAAGAAATGGCATCTATTGTCTAAAGTGTTTGTGTGTGTTTCAGTAATCTCACTACATGCATGCATGCACACACATATATTTGTTGCCAAATAATTGTTGGGGGGGCTTCGAACCAAATATGGAATCCACAAAAATTACCTATTTCTAGACAAAATATACAGAGTTGTTTAATTGACTGAGAACCGGACAGTACCTGTTGTAACAGGTGTGTTGATTGCCATTTGCATGGCCTACAATATGTCGTCAGGTAGAGGAGCTGCATTCAAAAGAATTCCTTTGGGGCAGAAATGGCTAATACAGCTGTGCAGGTGGGCTAGTTAAGATGAAAGATGGGTTGGTAAGTTTTATTTTGCAAGCATCTGTGATGCTAAGAGGCTGACT